AAATGTAATCAGTTTACCCCATACGGAAAAATTGTGCATTTTCAAGTTTAAACGAGCCACAAAGCATTCAAAGGAAAATTTTTTCGATTTTCGTGTGTTATAGCCTATAAATTTTTTTAATCCAAAAATTTATAACAAAATGGCCAAGATATTATGTGGACATTCATTAAGACCTTAGAAATGGAACCAGTTCGTCCTAGGGATAAAAATGATGCATTTTCAAGTTCAAACGAGCCCAAAGCAGGCAAAGACATATTTTTTCAATTTTTATATGCTATAATACATGAATTTTTTTTATTCAAGTATTCCAAAACAAAATTGTTAAAAAATTTTATGGGTGTCTGTTAAGACATTAGAAATTGAACCAGTTCGTCATGGAGGAAAACATGGTGCATTTTTAAGTTCAAACGAACCCCAATGTAGGCAAATGCAAATTTTACTAATATTTGTGTGCTATAATCCATTGATTTTTTATACGGAAATACTGAAACAAAATAACCAAAAATTTTCATGGACGTCCATTAAGACCTTAAAAAAGAAAAAAGTTCGTCTCATGAAAAAAAGTGGTGTATATTCAAGTTCAAAACGAGTCTCAAAATATGCAAAAGCAAATTTTAACGATTTTCGTGTGCTATAGCCCATGAATTTTTTAAAAATAAAAAATTCCAAAATAAAATGGCCGATATTTTTTTATGAAAGTACGTTAAGAATTTAGAAATGTTTCAAGTTCGTCATGCGGAAAAAATGGTGCATTTTAAAGTTCAAACGAGCCCCAATGCACGTAAAGATATATCTTATCGATTTTCATGTGCTATATCCCAAGTTTTTTTTAATCTCAAAAACCCAAAACTAAATAGCTGAATTTTTTCGTGGACGTCCGTTAAGACCTTAGCAACACTTAGAAAAAATCACAATTTTTCAAAAAATTCATAATCTTTTCGATAAATCGCACCCCTTCAAAAAAACCTAACCTTTCAAAAAAGACACTAACTCCTAAAGAAATCCCAAACTCTGATTTTCTCTATTGATACTTTTTAAAACCAAACAATTATAATTATAGTTATCTATATTATACGTACTAGTTACTTGCTAACACGTAACTATTGAATTAATTCACAGGTTTCGTATCATGTGAACACGGAAAACGAACAATGTCGAGAAATTATAATTTGAAAAGTCAATTGGACAATCGAATAATATACTCCTAGCAAAATTAAAAACATGAAATTAAGAATTTAATTCGATTTTTCTCTTCCTTAACACAGACACATTCCTCTCTTTCCAGAAATACAAGTATTAAAAGTAAATAAAATCCTCCACTTCTTTTTATTATAAATTATTTCTTTACAACAAAAGTTGACAAAAACTTCTAAATCTGAGGTCAGATTTTTCTCCTTTTTCTCTCTCTTCTTTGTCTCCTTTTCTTACCTTTTTTGGCTTTCTTTTAAGTCTTGTAATAAATGGAATTATAACACTTTCTTAGAGCCTAAGTTTCTCCAACTATTTATCTATTGTCTTACTTACTTTTTAGATGAATCAATTTGGAGATCATAATGATCAAGTTTCCATGACAATAGATGATGAAAAAATGTTACTCTCTTTCGATTCCCAAGTCGAGTCTCCTAGTTCAACATATCATGATTCCTTGAGGTCAGAAGCGAATTCAAAATTTCGTTTCGTTAATTTCACTTGTACATTATCATCTGATACTCGATATTATAAATAATATTTTGATTCGATTATATCAGGTCGTTCAAGAAAAATGGGATGATCGAATTAGAGGAACGTAACAAAGAACATGATTTAATCAAGGCAGGTTTTCTTAGTGGAATGGGGCAATTAGGAAAGGAAGTTGAAGTTGTGGCTATACATAAGAATTCATGTTCAACTATATTAGGGCAAGCGAGGTTAGAAAGTTTTCGTATTTATTCCGAAGCAATGCGGAAGAAATGTGGTGGAAATGCTAATATTAAATATGCTTGGTTTGGTTCTTCCAAAGATGAAATTTGTAACATAATTTCACATGGATTTTCTACAATTACTGAACCAAAATCAGGAGAATGTTTTGGTATGGGTGTTCATCTTTATCCTGCAAATATCCATGGGTAAGCAATGATACATATATGTATAGTACTCTATTTCAATATATGTCACAGTTTTAATTTGTATTTTTTTTGGTGTTGAAGGGTATTATCGGCATTGGAAGATGAGAATGGATTAAGGCATATGTTACTTTGTAGAGTAATATTAGGAAATACAGAAATAATTGAGGCTTCATCCAAACAATTTCAGCCAACTTGTCAAGATTTTGACTCTGGGGTTGACAATTATCTGGCTCCTAAAACATACATTATTTGGCCTTCTTATATGAATTCTCATATTTTACCAAATTTTCTAGTAAGTTTTAGCTGTACTCCAAGTTACTTATTAGGTAAGCAATTCAATATTTATGACTTTGTTTTATATCATGTTAAGTAATTTGGGGCTGATTTGAATATAAATTATGCAGATATCAAATATTGCATAATTCTCTAACTAATCATGTATCAAATGATAGATCCCACATTTAATTAGTATATGAGAATATTCAAGAATGTAATATTATTATTTTGTTTATTTTTTAGGTGCTTCTTCGAAAATCAAGAAGGTTTCTCCAAAATCGAATTCTCGTATAAAGTTTCATGATTTATTGCGTGTGCTTTCCAAATATTTACATCCATCGAGAATGGTTTTGATCTCAAAATACTATGAAGATTTTCAGGTGAATTTTTTTTCTTAATTATCTAATTTTGTGTGATAAAATTTTTAATTTATTATTATTCTATGTGATTAATTATGTGATAATGTTTTAATGTATAGAAAAATAAGATCACAAAATTAGTACTCGTTCGAAAATTGAGGCGAATAGCTGGAGATACATCGTTAAGAGCTGTCATGAAATTGTATCCAAATACTACTATTTAAGGTACAGCTTCCTACCTATATATTATTTATAAACAACTTGGTGCATTTAATTAATGGGCCTTTAAACAACCATTTAAATAATTTTTCTTATTTTTATTTTTTCGAGATATTGTACGTTCGATTGCTTTTCTAATTTGATGATTTATATAATGTTTAGTTGTGAATCAGAGAAAAGAGCTTGTAAATTCCGTGAGAACGAAGGTGATTAAGTTGCTAGCGATATGATGATGACGGAGTTTATCAAAGTGTGAAAAGAAAATTTTCCCTTTGTTTTTCGACTACAACAAGTTTTTTATTTATGAAGTTGTATAGTATTTAAGTGATGTACCAATTGTATTAAACGAATAATATTATTTAATATTGAATTGTGATGTGACTTATTTGAGAACATACATTAGCTCATATTTTTATTGCTTAAAAATATTTAACATCTAGCTAGTTTCTTAATGCAATTTACTCGATAATAAAATTTGTATGAAATAAACAAAAATAAATTACATGTTGAATTTTGACGAAGGTTCATAAAAGGAACAAAAATGTTGGGAGGCCACGTTAAATGTTATAAAAGGAACAAAAAAGTCATCCTTTTCGATCCTTAACTTGACCAAAGACCATTTTGATAAGGTAATAATATTATGAATAAGTATTTTCTGAAAGTTCAATAGCATATATTGAGCCTTTCTCCCTAATAATATTAATACATATTTTTGTCAAGATGAATTCTCATTTTTTCACTAGAGTGACCAGGAACGATTCCTAGAATATCAACTATCGTCTATCCACGTATAACATTCTATCAACTATGACCTTTTTAAAACTCAAATTAGGTGTTGAATTGAACAAGTCAAAAAAAATGTATGAGAAAGATTAAATGTCCGCTGAACTTTGATAGACTGTCATATATAAATCTAATTAGGTTTTTTAAACTAAAAAAAAAAAAGTAAAATATACTCCTAACTTTAAAAAATAGTATCCATACTCTATATTATACTTTAAAGTTGTATATACTCTTACCGTCATATTTTTTAGCCGTATATATCTAAGCATGTGTTACATCTCATTTTTATTTGACTCGTGAAAATAAAAATAATTTAGATATTGACTCAACTAAAAATATTTTTTTAAAAAAACAGTGGTTGGGAAAAGAGAAAATAGAGAATGGAATAACAAGGTGTAAAATTGACTCCTCGTTGCTATTAAAATTTTTGACGTAAATAAAAATATGAAATATCAATACAACACACACAAAAAATATGAAAAACAGGGGTAAAAATGTAATTGAATTAGTCAAAATCAAATCATCGAAGACCTCACCTGCAAATTAACCGGTTAGAGAACGGCCACGCCGCAACTAAATTTGAATTAAATTGATTTTTCACTTCCTTAAACAGCCATATTTAAAATTCAAAAAACCATTTTTATCCTGACATATGTTATTTTTTTTTAAAAAAAGATAGAATAGATTTTCTATTTTTGGTCACCCTATCTAAAAGAAAATGCATTGTGTTTTTCTTATAGATTTTAAAAATTAACATCTTATAATAGTAAATAATTATCATACTCGAATCATTTTTATGATTTATTATAACGTATTAACTTTTTGGAGGAAGACTTTTATCATTTTTTTATATTAATATTTAAAATATAATATCGACATTTTTCTTAGTCAATAAAGACATTTTCCTTTTAGATTCATTTCCTAACAGTTCCATTAAATATGGAATTGCGTGGTTGATTACTAGCCTTTGCTACAAAAAAACAAATATAAATATCAATACATCACATCACAAAATTAAATGACTCAAAAAAAAATTATCTATGAAACAAAGGGTAGAAATGTAATTTGAAATGGTCTAAAATCAAATCATGAAGACCTCAACTACAAATTAACTGGTTTGAGAACGGCCACGCCCCATTCCTCTCTTCCACTCTTTTGTTGTCCTTTTTTTTCTTTTTTGGCGTTTGATATCTTTAAATTAATTTGATAAATATAGAATATCTAATATAATTTTATATTTACTATACAAAAATCTAAAATTTGTGATTAAAAGAAGAGCAGTGTTATTCATTGTACACAAATAATAAAATTAATGTTGACGAAATCTTAAGTTAGATATTTCACGAGGTTAGATATTTCTCCCTCTTCTCACCTTGTTTTTATTTTATTTTCTCATGTCTCATAAGTCATAATATATGTCCATTTCATAACACATTCTTATAGCCTAAGTCTCTCCAACTATTAATATAAATTCACTCTTATAATATCATATTGCTTGCTCTTAAAGATGGATCAACTTGGAAATGATGATCAAGTTTCCATGACAATAGAGAACCATGAAATGTTGTTCTCTTCTGATTCCGAAGTCGAGTCTCCTAGTCCAAGGACAAATTATCATTTCAGGTCAGAAGTGAATTCAGAATTTTAGTTTCTTTTTCAAGTTATTTTTCACGTATGTTACATTTGTTAGTACTGATTTAGGTCGTTGAAGAGCAATGAAGTAATGAAACTGGAAGAAGGTGACCAAGATCATGATTTGATTAAGGCAGGTTTTCTTAGTGGAATGGGACAATTGGGAAATGAAATTGAAGTTGTGGCTGTACATAAAAATTCATGTTCCACTATATTAGGGCAAGCGAGGTCAGAAAGTTTTCGTATTTATTCCGAAGCAATGCGGAAAAAATGTAGTGGAGATGCTAATATTAAATATGCTTGGTTTGGTTCTTCCAAAGATGAAATTTGTAATATTATTTCACATGGATTTTCAACAATTATGGAACCTAATTATGGGGATTGTTTTGGCAATGGTGTCCATCTTTATCCTGCAAATATCGATGGGTAAGAAATTAATCATTTTAGTAACTTATTGTTTCTTTGTTTCATCTTTCTATTTTTGAAAATTAATTATATATGTAACGACATTATTGTCATAATATCTGTCAAAATTAACATGTGTCATATTTCTTGAACATAACAACAGATCACACACCGCCACATAATATATAAATTGGGAAAAGTCAAACGTCCCTTTACATATCTTAAATAATTAGTGTTATACTTTTAATTTTAGTATGCCATTTTGCTTTCGCTTCAAATATGCCAATACTATTTACAATTCCTTTTTAAGTTCACTAGAAAATTCATGTTAAATATCAAATTTAGCTAATTTTATATTTTTTGACAGACTTATCGAAGAAATTCAAATGTAATTTCTAGAGAAGAAAATGATGATAAAATAAATGGGGTTAAACTAGTGGTTTTTAAAAAATGGTATATTTAATTGAATTGTGTGATTTTAAGCTTGAAGTGTATATATGATAAGTTATAATAAAAATGGTATATTTTAAACTAAAATATAACGATGTATATATTTAAACTATTTTCAACAACAGTGATATGATATATTTGATGTATATAAAATGAAACAAATATATCAAGAGTCCTGGACAAGTCATTGTTAACTCTTAAGTATCGAATTAGACATTTGATTACTTCAAATGTTTGAGATTAATTAATTAATTTCTTTGACTTTTTTGTTGGATTGAAGGGTATTTTCGGCAGTGGAAGATGAGAATGGATTAAGACATATGTTACTTTGCAGAGTAATATTAGGAAATACAGAAGTAATTGAGGCTTCATCCAAACAATTTCAACCAACTTGTCAAGATTTTGACTCCGGAGTTGACAATTATTTGGCTCCTAAAACATACATTATTTGGCCTTCTAATATGAATTCTCATATTTTACCAAATTTTCTAGTGAGTTTCAAGGGTCCATTATCATTAGGTAAGCAATTTAAGATGCATAATTTGGTTATTTTAAAATTATTATGCTGATGTAGACATTTAAGCTATTTATTTCTATTACCATTCATTTTTAGATATTATTTTTTCAATTTATTTTTATATTCTTTTATCTTCTAAAAAAAGAATAAAATCGATATAATATGATATATATAAAATATATCTTTATTGTTTTAACTTTTACTTGTCACATTGAAATTTGAATCTATTGAGAAAATTATTGTTGATGTGACTATAATATTATACTATCCCTTATGAATCGATGTTTAGTTCTAGGTCTTGAATTCTTTTTTGAAAATAAGCAACTAATGTCAAAGATAAAACATGAAAATAAATAATTGTCTTTCCTTTCCTTGTTGTGTTAAAGTTAAGAATCTATTTTGAAATAGTAGACAAGTAAAAGCGAACATATACAAAATTATATATTTTCTCTTTTACATGTTCCTTAAGAAATCATTGATAAGAAGGATAGCTTGCTAATTTATTCTTATAAAGCTTTTTTGGAACATCACAAACGTGTTTACACTATCAAAAAAGAATCAATTGTAACGATAAAACATGAAAATTTTAATTTATTTTATTTTGATTTTGTAAATAAACAAATAATTTAGGACAACAACTTATATATTCGAAAATAAATATAATTATTTTTAACGTACAGAGTTTCCTATTTTTCTAGGTACCTCTTTGAAAATCAAGATTCCATTGAAGCCTACACCACGTATAAAATTTTCAAATCTATTGCGTGTGCTTTCCAATTTTTTACATCCTTCAAGAATGGTTTTGATCACAAAGAAATATGAAGATTTTCAGGTACATATTTTTATTGTTTTTTTAAAAAAAATTGTGATTATAAAATTTATTACTGTAAAGTATAACAAGTATTTGATTACTGATTATATGAATTCTATAATTTATAGAAAAACAAGATCTCAAAAATGATATTTGTTCAGAAGTTGAGGCAAATAGCTGGAGATACATCACTACTTAAGAGTTGTCATGATATTGTATCCAAACATTAAGGTAGAGCAAGGGGTCTGACTCTGTATTTTCCTTATTTTTTTTTATTTAACTATTACTATTGTAATATTGTAAACTCTGTGATAACTATAGTCTATAGAGTATTTAGTTGAGCAAGTTAATTGATTATGGCAAACAACATAAATATCATTATTTAAGAATCTAATTATGTGTCTTTTCATAAATTTTGAAATTACAATTTGTGTCATATTTTGTCATACATGTATCTATGCTACATGCGGTTAAATTAAAAATAGGCATAATTTATTTCAGTTTTTAAGTAAATTCAAATGTATATGACTCTCTTCTTCGCCTCTCTCCTATTTTGCTCACTTCTCTCCCTATGTATTTGAAATGTATCTAATATTTTGAATACATGTATCGAATATGATTATCATGTATTTGGGATTCAAAACTTTTGCTCGCTCACCTTCCTCCTCGCTTGCTCCAATTCCTCCTATCTTCCTCGCCGTTGTCCCTATACATTTGTATATCAAAGTATATCTGATAGAAATAACATATGTATCGAGGTGTATTTGATTCGAAAAATTGATATGAATTTATTAAATAGTAAGACGGTATGTGATTATTTCAAACTATATGGAGAATTTATAAATGTGGTAGGAATATTAGTGTAATTAGATATTGGGAAACTTACATAAATATACTAAAATAAAAAAATATTTACCATTTATAGCAATAATATATTTTTTTCACTTGATCACTTTTAATTCATTTTTAATACAAGTTTAATACATATTACAAATAACAATTTATTATTCATATATAATACAAATTTTAATAATGGATAATACATTTATCGCACATTTTAATACACTTATAATACAATATGTCAAATTTTTACCAAACAAACATAATATATTTCAAAAAACAATTATAATTCATATATATTGCATACATAATTCACTTTTAATTCATATTGTAGATTTGACATGGCATTGTTATAAATGGTAATAAATAAAAAGTATTGCTAAAATCAGTAATTATTTATTAAAATGTACTAATTTATGTAATTTTTCCTTAGATATTTTCCTATTTTTTTCTTTTGTAATAGATAATGAATGGGCCCTTGAAGCTAATTGGGCCTTAATCCAAACAAGGGGAGTAGAATGCACTTAATATTTTAATTTTAATATTAAAATGCATAAACATTAACAATTTTGATTAATTAATATGTATATTACTTCATTAAATTACTCATGATAAGCTGTACTAATTTGATGTAAATACCCGGTATAGATAAGTTTTTACCATTATTGAAGATTGATTAAATAGAATCTATAGTTACTTGTATACATGATTTTGTGTGTATATATATATATATATATATAAAGCAGACAGAATAACAAGTACATATGTGTGCATAGATGCTAGCTCATGAGCAATTATATATAGAAATTATAGACAACTGAACATTTCTCATCTGAAACTAAATCTCATGGATTGGCTTATTAGTTTGTGTACAATGTATTTTGCTTATTTCTTAACATGTGAACAAGTGACAGATTTACATGTGAGAGATATTTTTTTTAATTTAATTGTTGTATGTTTAATTATTAAATTGATTTATGGTTCGTTAGTAATATTCAAAAAGAGGAAATTACAAGCTTAATAAGAAAAGAAAAAAAAAGTGTGTTCGTAAACCTCTAGATAGGAGATCGATAGGTTATATTAATAATTAATAATAAAAATAACACTACACACACATTTAAGATGTTAAATATCAAGTTATAAACAAACTTTTTAATAATAAACTACTTATAGCATATTATTATCAAGTTATAGCATATAAAAAAAAAATATTATTCTGATTAATTTTTTAAAATAATGATTAACTTATTTAAATAATTACATTTATTATTCAATTACCTTATTTAAGCCAATGTAGTTAATTAAATTTATTATTTTAAGTTACTTTTTTTAAACAAAACTCTTAATTAATGTAATTTAAATTAAATATTATATAGTTACCTTTTTTAAGATAACTACAAAATAGGGATTTTATCAATATCTAAAACACTTACAGTTTTATTTTTAAAAATGTAAAATGTTATCTAAAAAAAAAAAATTATATTCCCCAAATTTTTGTTCTTCCCCAAATCCTTTCAAAATCATTACCTTTGCACGTCTATCAAAATTATTCACCAAATTTCGCACGCCTAAATTTTTATTTTCACCAAAATTTCGCTCAAAATCGCTTCTCTCTTAACAGTCTTCTTCACGAATTCTCAAATATTTGCATTCAAATCTTCATTTTTAGCACTCTAATCTTCAACTCTTGCGCTAAACAAACCGTACAATGTCGAAAAGAGGCAATGAAACACCGAAAAAAATAGAAGATTGAATGATGAAGCAAGCTCAGACGATTTTCATGCTCCATCTTTCGAAATTTTATCACAAACACAATCTCAACCTTCATCCGTTAAAGTTAAATCTAGATCAGGGAAATCAAAAATAGAAAAAAAAAACATCCAAAGGAAAACGAGAAGAAGGGAAAAGGGAAAGAAAAGAAAAAAGTAGATGAATCTGAGAAAAGGACGAAAGAAAGAGGAAAGAAGAGGAAAGGAAAAGAAATCGAGGACTCATCAGATTCTGAATCTGGTTTCGTAGAAGAGTTGATAAAATCAAAATCCAAAAAACTAAGAGCCTCAATTTACAAGAAGAAGAAGAAACAGTTAAACCCAAAAAAAAGTTCAAAGGTTAGTAAAAGTTAATTTTTTAAAACTTTCTTATGTTCTCTTATTTATATTTTCCGTTACTTTGGTATAAAATAGTTAATACATAATTTTTGTGTATATAAATAATGTATAAATTGTGTATGATTCACTGTATGAAATTACAGATTTCTTCACATTACAATATCAATTGCTGAAACATGTATTTTTTATGTATGATTCACTGTATGAATTGTGTATGATTCACTGTATATATAAAATGTGTATGAATTGTGTATAAATTTTTTTGTATCAAGTTTTTTTATACAATTTTTTTTTCAATTTATATACAGTGATTGTGGTTTATACACATCTCTATTCGCCGAATACATGAGCAATGGTGTTTTTGATATATCACATATTGATATTGATTCAAAATATCATCGTCAAAGATATGCTACATTACTTTGGAATTATGGAAAATCAAAGAATGATGAAGGCGCAATCAGTGAAAGTGAAGTTACAAGCACAGTTGCTAGCAAGAAGGGTGGACCTCGAACTCATAAAGAACAAATTATGGACACCACCAATTATCCTACTCCAAAATTCCGTATCAGGAAGTAGAAATCTTCATGGCACAATGTACATTTTTTTGAATGAATTGTTTTTTTTTTAACTTATGAACAATTTATGTATTTTCTCAATTTTTTATTATGACTACTGATGGTTTTATATAAATTATTACTGGTTATTACTAAATGTGTCTCACTTTAACATATATGAACACTGTATGAATCATTTATGAAAATTATATGAATTATGAATGTCATATTAAAATTTGATATATAGTACATAGTAATGTTAAATTATTCCATAAATTTGTTTTGCATGAATACTATACACTTTCAAATACAAACAGAAACAGATATTAATTATATTACTGGTATAAATAATGTATGAAAAATGTATGAATTATATCATACAATTATACATTAATAAATGTGTATCACCTTCTTGCATACATTATTCATACCAGTAATATACATACAATTTGTTTCTGTTTGTATGTATATTACAGGTATGAATAATGTATGAAAACTGTATGAATTATAACATATTATAATTTAATATGTATAACATAAACATACATTATTTTCTTATATACAAGTATTGAATTTATATAAATGTATAAATCTTGTATGTAGTCTCCATTATGAATGCAATAACTGAATAAATGTTATATGATTATATGAATTATTATTGTTAAAATTTGTTAATATATGAACAGTTGTATATACAATGTATGACATTTGTATGAAAAGTAATATTATTCAATAAAAAATATTTTATAACAATGTAAATCCTCAAAAACACAGATTTAACAGTACGACATCATTGTTTTTGTACAGGATAATTTGAACAAGTCTTCCTATTGTGTCCAACCTGATGGCATCTATTGCATGTGTTTTTTGTCCTCTTGAATTTCACATCTGCGAACCCCTTCCACCGTTCAAGTTTGGGTCTTTCTGCTGCTCTTTTTGGACCAGGCGACATCAATTTAGGATCTGAAATATAACTTGGTATATCCCATGTACTCTCGCACGGGATAGGCTCGACAGGAATGACATAAGCATCTTTGAAATTCTTGAGACTATAAAAAGCAGAACAGAAATCTGCTTCATGTAACTTCTTGTACTGAAGAACAGCAATTGCATGACCACACGGTATCTCATAATGTTGAAATCTTCCGCAACTACACATCCTTGTTTTCAAATTTACTATGTATTTCTTTGCTCCTTCAGCTACAGCATGCAGATCAACAGTTGAAGGTATCACCTGTGAAAAAAAATAATTTATACATGCTGCAGATTAGTATGAATTAAAAATACAATACAGTGAAACACATACCCTCATATTGCACGACAAAGTAATACTTTTCTGTAGATAAATATCACATTTTTTTGTCAGATTAGATGTAGTCTTATCAGCCTCCTCATTATGCTTGTGAATCCACCTCTGAATTAAAATTACATTTAGTGCATCCCATAATAAAATTATAAATTTATTCATACATAATTAATACACACTTCATACACAATTTATATACAAGTCACTGTTTAACACACACTTCATACACTTTGTACAAAAATAATACACACTTCATACACAATTACTACACTGTTTATACACTATTGTAATTTAATACACAATTAATACATTGTTTATTACACACTTAATACCATTTTATACAAAATTAATACACAAATCATACACAATTTATACACTTTCATACTCAATTTATCCAATTTAATAAAAAAAAATATACAATTAATTCAAAATTTATACAGAAGTCATATATATATATATATATATATTACAAATCAATAGCAGCTACGTACAACTATAAAAATTGACTTTCATATATATTGTTCATACACTATTTATATACATTAAAATACAAAACGTATACATTATTAATACAAAATTCAGATATTGTTCTACTGTTTCAAAAACAAAAAATTTGCAAATTGATCAAAAACTGTAAACTTTTTAATTTTAACCAGTAATCACATTTAACATCATTCTTCGTTTTAATTACACATGAAAATACATTTAATATTAGAAAATATTTATTAGTGGAAACACTGAATAAATGTATCACAAAAAAATATATATCAATTGAACATATGCAATATAACATGGGAAAAAAAATACGACACATTAATAAAATATTAGAAAAAACTAACCTGATGAATTTCATTTGCCACCATGTTTAATTAAAATTGACACAAATTTCTCCATCAAATCAAATCTAAACTTTTTCAACCTTCAATTTTAATTGTTTTTCCAAAAAAAAGAACGATAAAATATGACAGAATTCGAATATATGAATATAGTTAAATTTCTGGGGGGGGGGGGGGGGGGATGATACAAGTTTATGGAAAGAAGATAACAGAATACAATTTTTTAAGGATAAAAAATCAAAACTAATTATCATTAAAAACGGATTGAGATAATTAAGATGCATATCTATAATTAATATATTTTAAAATCCCTTAAAAGGTGCACATTTTGTTATCAGTTAAAAAACATTAACTACATTCACGGAAATTATCCAATTTTAATTAATCATTTTTTTTTCCGTCCTAATTTTACAGAATAAATATTAACAATATTTTAATTTAAATAAATGCTATAAGTTGATATATTAAATGTTATAGAATGAAAATCAAAATCTTATGCCATAACTTGAGAATATGACTACATAATATGCTATATACCTAATTTAACTCAATTGTATTATCTTGTTAATTATCATCATAACTCTAGATAGGAGGTCACATATATACGTTTAAAATATACTTTTAAATAGTGCAAGATGGTAAAAGGTCATTTTCAAAGTTTAAAATTATTATAACAACTTCAATTAAAATTCGAATATATTTCAGACACCCTTCTTTATTACTCGGCGAATACGTATATTTGTGTGTTGTTTGGGAGTAATAGTTTTGAACATTTTTCAAGATAAATATAACATAGAAGGGTAGAATAGTCCTTTCAGCTCAACACATTATTAAGCTACTATTATAAATGACTTATAACTATTATTACTTCAAGTATTATTTTTTAATAAGATTGAATATTAAAATTTCAAAGAATTCTCTCTTTGCAACAGTTTCCACTTTAGTGAACACCCCCACCATAAAGAGAATAATGGCATTGTTGTATTTAACATTAACTTCATAAGAAAATGAACAAATAATAATAATAATTAATAATCAAAGCATAATAAAAAAAAATTAACGAGGCTAAACATTATTATGGCTTAAGCATCTACTAATAATGAAAATAGAATCCAAAGTAGCTTTCAAGGAGGTCATTGTTTGAAAAATCAATGTAACCACCATCATAATTGTGGCGTTCTAATTAGTTTTGGATTATTGGATATGTTCGTTTATTTGTTTTCTAACATTTCTATAAATGACAAAATTAATGGTGTGTTTCTTAGTTAGCAAGAGATTATTAATTAGGGGACAATGAATAAAAGAATAAGTTTGAGAATATTTTATAACATGGAGCCGGTAACCTAAGTATTCCACTTAATTTTTTATTTCTTTTATTTGACGTTAGAAATTTAAAATAGACTAATTATATCTAATCGCTTATTATACAATTTTATTTGAAAATAATAATCTCAATATTATTTTCTTCGTTTCAAGACTAAAATTGATTAAATTTTTTAAAATGTATCTAGAATAAAAAAAAAATTATTTAAATAATTGGAAGAGATTCAACGGTCCATAATGGCAAAGTGTTTATAAATATTTTATCAGTAAATACCCATTTTCTGACTGGTCAATAAGTCAATGTCAAACTTGGGGTTCAGTGGCCATTATATTTGACTAGAGTAGCAAAAAATCACTCTTTTAGGCCCAGTACCATCCACCATTTTTTTAATATGATATATAATGATAGAATGAATGATATGTTATAGCTTTTAGATGTAGGATATTATTTTTATTAAAAAATATTTTATTTTTAATGTGAGATTTTCTATGGAAAATTTAAATTTTATTAAAATTAATATAAATTAATACCAAATACCAAGTGAAGTAACACAAAACCAATCTATACAAATAGGTAACTTAGCTTAAATCCATTTTTCTCACTACCAAAAAATTACTATTTTCCCACTAAATTTCCCATTAAAAAATGTGACTGAGTTGTTTTCATAGCTATTTCGATTGAATAGATCATATTGAAAAAAACATATGGTAATATCTTCATATTGAAAAATTAGGATGTAAATTTATTTGTCATCATGCATTTTCTTAAAGAATGGATTTGGTGAAAAATAAAACAAAAAAAAAAATCATGTTTTATAACATAAATATTTTATTGATTCGCGGTGAAAACTTGTGTTAATAGCTATGCTTGTTATTGCTTCTTTGATCAAAAGAGTAATGATGTTATTGTTTACCTAATTTAATTGACTATCTATGAGCCAAAAACTATTGAAGTTTCAGCAGCCTTTGGATTTGGCACTACTGCACTAGGTAATAATAAGTCTTCAAAGGTATTGAACTTTTGTTTATAGTAAAAAATTTTTATTAATTATATTTTTAGATGACTTTTATATACTGATTAATAATTTATAAGGAGAGAGTTAATGGATATTGAACAGACTTGAAAATGGAGAGAGTGAAGAAAAATTACTTCCCATTTTCTAGAGTTTCAGCTGAAATATTTTTTTATTTTCAAAATTAATCAATTAAGAAATTTGATTACATTCACATGAATTGGCTAAAACACTTAACTTTGCAATTGGATATTTTTCAAAGAAAAAAGAGTAGTGAGAATATATAATTTATTTTCTGTGATATTAGTTAGTTACATAATAGCCACAATTTAATACTACTACTACTAATAATATATATATATATATATATATATATTAAGTTTGGTAGGAAGGAAAATGTTTTTCACGAAGAAAATGTTTTTTTTGTCTTATTTATTTTGTGATGTTTGGTTAGTAAGAAGAAAATATTGTCTCAAGAGCATTTAGGTATTAATCTACACCAATACTACGATAACAGACCCAGACCCTCCACCGTTAACACCAACTATACCCTATACCAACCACAACTCGAGATCTGACTTCACCCCAACATCGTCCCAAGACATGACCTGAACCCTGACCATACCGTAACCCTAGCCATAGACTCGAAAACCAACCCTAGTAACAACCACAACCACGAACACGACCACAACCCAATGCCAACTCAGAACCTAACTTTAACCTTGATCTGGGCTTGAGATTAGAGACCTTTGACGTTGAGCCATGACCTAACCTTGACCCTAAATCAGGGTTGATCAAGTTTGAAGTTTGACTTATAGTCGGGAGTCGGGTCTTGGGTTGAAGAAAGGGTCGGGAGTCGAATTCTAGATAGAGATTCGGAGTTGACCCCTAGGTCAATATGAACCAGGTAGGGGTCAAGAGACAAGTCCCAACTTAGGGTTAAGAGTCAAGTCCCTAATCAGGTTTAGGATTCAAATCCTGGGACGGGAGCTAGAGTTATGTCTCAAGTCGGGGTCAATAGTCACGTCCCGAGTAAGGGTTGGGAGTTGGGTCCCAAATGGGTCATGTCTTGGGAGCCAGGTCAGGGCTAAGATTGTGGTTAGGGTGTGGTCTGGGGTCCTAAGCCAGGGTCAGGAGTTGAGTCCCAAATCGAGATAAGGAATCAGGTTAGGAAATGAGAGAGAAAGTTGGGTCACAGTTGGCTTCGGATTAAAATCAAGAGTCGGGTCGTAGTTTGTGGTCAAGAGTTTCGACCTCAAGTCCCAAGTCGTGTCCGTAGTAAGGGTTGGATGTTGAGTTTTCAGTTCCGAGTCAAGGTTGTGAATTAGTTTGCGACTTGGTGTTGAAAGTTTGGTCCAGGGTTTGCAAAGTTATTATTGTCATTAGTATTGTTTTTAATACAAATTGCTTAATAACTCATTCAATCCATTTTACTTTTGATATCTTCACACACCCTCTTTTAGAAATGTTAATGTGAAGATGAAGGTTGTTAGTCATTTTGTTAGTTAGTTAAATGTGTCAGAAAATTAGTTAGGAAGTTAGTTAGGAAGTTAGATGTTAGTTATAGTGTAGAATAAATGCTTTGTAATCTGTATATATACAAGTAGTTGCACAATGTAAAGGATATAGAATATGAAAATATAGAAAACACATTCTGCAGTTTTGCTTCTATTTCTTCTCCTTCTTTCTCGATTCTCCATAGCTGCAACCTCCATTGAAGAAGGTTGCAAGCTTTCTCAACATGGTATCAGAGCAGGGGATCTGTTAAGCCTCTCTCACTCGTTTTTCTTCTCTTTCTCTGTTCTTCTTCTGTATTCTGTTTGCTGTATTGAATCCCCCATCAATGGCGGAACGAATTGATCATAATCATCCCTTGTATGTACATCCATCAGACACTCCTAGAGCTGTTCTCATTTCTGTTCAGCTGAAAGGATCTGAAAATTATGACATATGGAAAAGGTCAATGACAATAGCATTACAGGCAAAGAGGAAGTTAGGCTTCATTACAGGTGCTTGCAAGAAGGATTCAGTACGTGAAGAACATCATGAAAACTGGGAGACTTGCAATGCACTGGTTCTTTCATGGATCATGAATACAGTCACACCTTCACTTCTTAGTGGAATTGTATATGCTTCGAATGCTTTTTTAGTATGGGAAGACTTGAAAGAAAGGTTTGATAAAGTCAATAGAATGAGGATCTATCAGTTGCATAAGGAGATCAATTCAATTAATCAAGGTACAAGCACTGTCTCTGAGTATTTTACAAAGCTGAAAGAACTATGTTTGAGTTTGATGCAGTAGTTCCTTCTCCTGATTGTGGTTGTGTTAGAGGTAAGGAGTATGTGGCACATCTTCAACAGCAACGGTTACTACAGTTTGTAGGAGGTTTAAATGATTCTTATGATCAAGCTAGGAGGCAGATTCTCATGAAATCTTCTGAGCCTTCTTTGAATCAAGCCTATGCTCTTGTTATTGAGGATGAATGTCAGAAAGGATCTAGCATAAACACTATGTCTCAATCGATTACTGGAGGTAATGATATCACTGCTTTATGGAGTGCTGGAGGGCCATCACAAAGCTATAAGAAATCACATAATGAACACTGGAATGAGAAGTGTGAATTTTGCAAAATTAAGGGTCATATCAAGGCAAACTGTTATAGACTCATTGGATATCCACCAAATTACAGAGGTAAGAAGAAAGAAGGTATTGCAGCAAATAGTTCTTCTATGGGTGAGGATTCATCTCACATCAAGGACAATTATGATCAGCATTTTGGTATTTCTTAGACTTGGAATCCATATGGTTATAATGGGAATAGAATGCCTCAATCTCCTTATGGTTATAATGAAAATGGACATGGATATACTGGTTATTCTCCACAATATATTCAAGGAGGTCAAGGACAAATGGGATAGCTGCTCACTCTGCAGGTAATATTAATTCTTTTCATGTTAGTAGTGAACATGACAGATGGATAGTAGATACAGGTGCCACAAACCATATGACTCCTAACTTAGGAATGTTACATGGAGATTATGAACAACAAGGTCAAAGTGTTCATTTGCCAAATGGCAGTAAAGTTAACATTTCTCATATAGGACAATGTCGATTGCCACAAGGAGTCATTCAAAATGTCCTACATGTTCCTGATTTTAAACTAAACCTGTTGTCAGTTCCCAAGATGACAAAGGAGTTGCAGTGTTGTATGGTTTTCTATCCTGACTTCTGTCTACTGCAAGATCTTCATACTGGGAAGGTGAGGGGGACTGGTAAAATAGAAGGAGGGCTGTATTTCTGGGATCATAAAGAGAAGACATGTGTTACTTCTGCAGCCTCAATAGGAACTCAAGCTGATCATGAGCTTTGGCATAGAAGGCTTGGTCATGTTCCAAGCAGAATACTTGAACAAATGTCTTTGGTTGATTCTAAAAACACTGTACTGTCATCTTGTCCTGTATGTCCTTTGGCAAAACAGACTAGACTTCCTTTTCAAAGAAGTGTAAGTAGGACAAATAATCCTTTTGATCTTATTCATGGAGATGTTTGGGGTCCTTACAGATTACCTACACATGATGGTAAAAGATTTTTTCTGACACTAGTTGATGATTGTAGTAGAATGACTTGGTTGTTTCTATTACACTTGAAAAGTGAAGTGAGTACTGTTATCCAAGATTTTTTGCATCTGATCAAGTCCCAGTTTAATGCATCTGTCAAGGTGTTTAGAAGTGACAATGGTACTGAATTCTTTAATGCACATTGTAGAGAAATTTTTAAAGCTGCTGGTATAATGCATCAAAGTTCATGTGTTCATACACCTCAACAAAATGGGGTAGTTGAGAGGCGACATAGGCAAATCCTAGAGGTTGCTAGAGCACTTCATTTTCAAGGTCATATACCTCTGAAGTTTCGGGGATTCTGTGTTCAAACTGCAGTATATCTTATCAATAGGATTCCTTCCACAGTCTTACATGGCAAGAGTCCTTTTGAAGTGTTCTTTGATAAAAGGCCCAATGTTCAACATTTGAGAGTCTTGGGGTGTCTTTGTTATGCAACTATAACTAGAGACTGTAGGGATAAGTTTGGTCCTAGAGCTGAACAGGCTGTTCATCTAGGCTATTCTAGCACACAAAAGGGCTATGTTTTGTACAGTCTTTCTCACAAACATTTCTTTGTTAGTCGAGATGTTACTTTCCATGAAAATATCTTTCATTTACAGTTACAAATTCTTCTTCTTCTTTATTTCCAAATGAAGCTGTTGTTCATACTGATGTTGTTGATGATTTCAATTGCCCAGTTTTAACCCCTATTGCAGAACCTATTACTACTCAGCCTTCTAGACACTCTAGTAGGGTAGTCAAACCTCCATCTTGGCTCCAAGATTTTGTTCATGCTCCTCTTCCTTCACACAATGTGTCTAGTTCCTCTTGTCAGTATCCTTTGTCTACTTATATGTCCTATGCCAATATTGCTATCCCTCATTATCACTCCATATGTGCTTACTCTTCCATCAAAGAGCCTACATCTTATGCTGAGGCTACATGTCATCCAGAGTGGGTACTTGCCATGCAACAAGAACTTCAGGCACTTGCAAACAACCATACATGGTGTCTTGTTGATTTACCTTCTTATAAGAGAGCTATTGGTTGCAAATGGGTGTATAAGGTGAAGTATAATGCTCTTGGAGAGGTTGAAAGATACAAGGCTCGACTTGTTGCTAAAGGTTACACACAAGAAGAGGGTTTGGACTATCAGGAAACCTTTTCTCCAGTGATTAAAATGGTCACAGTTAGAGTTGTCCTGTCTTTGGCTGCTATGAATGGTTGGAAACTTCATCAAATGGATGTGTTCAATGCATTTCTCCAAGGTGATCTAGAGGAAGATGTTTACATGCTTCAACCTCCTGGTTTTTCCAGTAAGGGGGAGTCAGCCAAAGTTTGTAAGATACAAAAGTCTCTCTATGGCCTTAAACAGGCATCCAGGCAATGGAACTTTAAGCTTTCAGAGGCCTTACTTAACTCTGGTTTTTCACAAAGCCATCATAATTACTCCCTATTTACCAAAGTTGAGGGATCTGATACTGTTCTAGTCCTTGTTTATGTGGATGATCTCTTGATCACAGGTTCTTCTTCCACTCTCATTTTGGACACTAAGAACCTGCTCAACCAACATTTCAAGATCAAGGATCTGGGGGAGATGAAGTACTTCCTTGGTCTTCAAATTGCCAGAAGTAGCACAGGTATTTCAGTTTGTCAAAGAAAGTTTTGCCTTGATTTGGTTTCAGATCTAGGACTCACAGGCTCAAAACCTGCCAGCACTCCATTAGAAGCAAATCACAAGCTTACCAGTGTGCTATATGATGAGAGTGTAGCTGCTAGCTCAGGAAAACCATTGAATGATGAGTTCTTAAAGGACCCTACTAGTTATCAAAAACTAATTGGGAAGTTACTTTATCTTACAATGACAAGACCTGACATTAGTTATGCAATACAAAACCTCAGCCAATTCATGCATTCGCCTAAGAAGTCACACATGGAAGCTGCATTAAGAGTGGTTAGATATTTGAAGAATGCACCTGGCTTAGGAATCATCTTGTCATCAGAAATTTCACATGCACTGAATGTTTATTGTGATGCTGATTGGGCTACTTGTCCCATGACAAGGAAATCAATTAGTGGCTTTGTTGTTAAACTAGGAGGTTCATTGATATCCTGGAAATCCAAGAAGCAAAATACCATATCGAGAAGCTCTGCAGAAGCAGAATACAGGAGCATGGCAAGTGCTACAGCAGAGGTGGTTTGGTTGGTTGGTTTGTTTGCAGAACTGAATTGGAAGTTAACATTGCCAGTGAAGCTGTTTTGTGATAGTAAGGCAGCCATACAAATAGCAGCCAATCCCATATATCATGAAAGAACGAAACACATTGAAATTGATTGTCACTTTATTAGAGAAAAGATACAAAAGGGAATTATACAAACAGAACATGTAAGAACAGACCATCAATTGGCAGATATTTTGACAAAAGGCCTTGGACTCACACAACATGATTTCTTGCTATCCAAGCTTGGAGTATTCAACTTGTTTCATACGACTAAGCTTGAGAGGGGGTGTGAAGATGAAGGTTGTTAGTCATTTTGTTAGTTAGTTAAATGTGTCAGAAAATTAATTAGGAAGTTAGTTAGGAAGTTAGATGTTAGTTACAGTGTAGAATAAATGCTTTGTAATCTGTATATATACAAGTAGTTGCACAATGTAAAGGATATAGAATATGAAAATATAGAAAACACATTCTGCAGTTTTGCTTCTATTTCTTCTCCTTCTTTCTCGATTCTCCATAGCTGCAACCTCCATTGAAGAAGGTTGCAAGCTTTCTCAACAGTTAACTAAAAGATAAATTACTAAATTTCTAATAACATAGTAATTAGAGGACTTTCTAAATCTACATTGGCCAATTCGTATTCACAAAGTATATGGTTGTTACACCAACAAAGTCCATCGTTGTTGGTGAATACAATTTCGACTTTTGCCCTTTTTCTTGACAAAAAAAAAAAGACTTCCCAAAGAAGTCAAGCTTTAATTAGTTAGCTCATTGACAAATGACTACCCACATTCTATTTTATTGTTTGTTTGTAACTGCTTTTTATTACATTACATATATATTTGGAATAAAAAATAAATGGAGATAGATATGCCGTGATGAAGAAGCACATTAACATATATATATATATATATACACCTCAAAAATAAATACAAAAAAATTGGAACTTGGTTATAGTGACATGAGGCAATACGTGTATTATTATTTAGATAGGTAAGGAATGATGTGTGAGTCCCAAACTACTTGTTTGATACGCCAAAGTTTAGATATTATTATTTGTAACATTTATCCTCTTTACTAATGACATCACCTATTTATAAGATGTATGGTTCATATGATTCTAGTTTGTATTATGTGATTTCATATAATAGAATTTTAATAGGGGAAAAAAATCATATTCTCCATTTTAACTTTCTTTATCAAACAAAATTTAATATTTGAAACCATAATCTATTCAAAAGAATCAATAAATTATTTTCTAAGTGATAGTATTATTTAGATGAGACCTTCACGAATAACATACAAATCGGAAAAGGCCTAGGCATTTTGCCATCACAATAAGGTACCAAAAGAAAACAATATTTTGGGTGCGAAAGATTTGGCTATTTTTCAGAATCTTAACGATGTAATTGACAATACACTCACCTCTTTAATATATATTTATATGTGATAGATTAATTCATTCATTATATCATTGATCACATCAACAATTTTGATCCCGATGTTATTGTTTATAATAAATTTTAAAGTGATAAAAAATTAAATTGCAAATATAATAATAAATAAAGTATGAAGAAATATAATTCTATTCATGAGAATTTGTGAGTACAAATTTGTTGATCTTGATCCACAAATTTGTGGAATTTGACATGTTTTTTAAGGGAATATAACATCCTTTATATAGACATGAATTAGGATTTAAGGTTTAGTGTTAAGTATACTCCAATAATCTTAATTAAAATTAAACATACTTTGTGGAGTCCCAACTAAAATTGAACACGTCTTGTAATCATAAAAATCTAGATATTAAAAAACTATACGAAAAGTACTATAAATGCAATATTTTTACATATCAATATGATGAAAAAATATATCATAAAATATTAATATTTTTTTTAAAGTTTAACTATAAAAAGAAAAACTATAACAATTAAAAACGAACAGGGATATTATTTAACAAAATTAGAAGTG